TTATAAATACAGTTCTGCCCTTGCGATTGTTTGTACCTGTTACTTGTCCACCTTGTGTCAAGTATGCGTCATACAAATAAAAGCTGTAGCTCATACAGAAGTTATACATTTATAACTTTGAAAAATTTAACAAATTGAAGGGCATGAAAGCAGTGCTGTACTCCGTAAGAATATGAGGTGAGGAAGCATAGATGTATATATGATGAGTGACACAGTAACACTCACAGGCATATCTAAGGAGGCCTGTATAATTCATCCCTTTCTCTCATCAGGACCATCTCAGCACCAAGTTCCAAAGTCCTACTACAAAGTAGAGGCAACAGAATACTTCACAGAAATAGAAGTAAACAGCTGTTTTCCCATGCTTCATATAACCAACTGAACACAGAGGCTTGCAAGAGAAAGCGTTAAGCAGCGTTAAACACAAGGACAGGTGCTGGTGTCTGCCAAAATCCCATTATGCCTGTTCATTTACTATAGCTAAGTGCTCTATCTAATGACACGTAAGTGAGAGTAGTGAGGCCTTACTTCACAGAAATAGAAGTAAACAGCTGTTTTCCCATGCTTCATATAACCAACTGAACACAGAGGCTTGCAAGAGAAAGCGTTAAGCAGCGTTAAACACAAGGACAGGTGCTGGTGTCTGCCAAAATCCCATTATGCCTGTTCATTTACTATAGCTAAGTGCTCTATCTAATGACACATAAGTGAGAGTAGTGAGGCCGTTTAAGATGAAGACATCATTTTAGCTCCATTGGCTGTTGTGGGCTCTGAACAGTTTCTTAATTTCAGTACTGAGTTTAAATGGTTTTACTCTGCCTTATGTGATGTCCAATATAGAGGCCAAGAGGTATCCTGAGTTAGACATAAAATGTACAACAACGTAACAGAAACTTTATAAAAATGTTACAATCAGTATCATTATCTTGGAGTGGAAGGAGTAGCTATTTATTGAATGGGGTCTTCTAATCCTGCTGCACTGGAGCAATTCTCATTTCAGGTAGAACAACACTGAAAAGCTTTCCCTTCCCTGTTGTACCTTCACTTACCTGCTGCATCACAAAAAGGCAGACACATGGTACTCCCAATTCTTCTTTCACCAAGAAACAGTGGTTCTGAAACTGCTTGCATTCCCCCAATAAAAAAAGGGGACATCTGAGTGTCTTTTTTTTTTCCTTTCCTCTTAAGTATATAAACAGACATATCAAAAAAAGCTGCTACCACCACTAATTGATGTTAAAATTAATACTAACTGAAAAAGTCTGATCTTATTTTTAAGGAAATATTTTCATAAAACTATACTATTGTTTCAGTATGGTTAAAAAAATTATTCAAAATTAATCATCGGAAGACCTAGCAGTATCCAGTACCTCACCAATACTTTTTTTATTCTTCCCATTTCAGATTTATTTACTTCTCTGGGAATTAAAAACAAACCAACCAACCCTACTTTGCAGGTAGAAGTCCTTGGCTACCTTACAATAGCAGAGTAAAAAGATGAAATAACTTCCCCATCAGGATCAAGAAATGTTATGGAATTGTGAGAGGAGGACAGTCCCAAAGAACAGAAGATTTCAAGTTAATACACCTAGCAAAAGGAGATGTGATTAGTGGTAACAAGAAACCCTTTTGTAAACAATATAATGCACACCTTCTTGCAGAAGCTAATTCTCTCACACAACATGAGCAAAAATTAGAAACTATTTCATAGCATACTTCAGAGGTAATGGATGGAACACTTAACCCCATTTCTGAATAACTGACCAAAACAGCCTCTAATTTGATGTCACTTCTAGTCCCACATTTTTTCTTTTTTTGACAAAGTGGTTGTAATAAGGAAAACCCAAAGCCAGATAAATCACATTAAAGTACTGTATTTTAACCTTTGAAAAGACCTGCTAAAGAGGGCTTAAATACTAGATATGCAAGTGATGAAGAATATTTCAATGAGCTCTCAAGTCATTACAAAGACAACAGAGTGCATTCAATTTTTGAGCAACAAAATCTAAAAGGTTCAACAGCACTACTATAAAGATGAGAAGTTAATAGTTATGATGTCAGAAGTCTTGACATTGTCACAGTTAAATCAGAAAGCAACATATATTTGAACAAAGATCTGTTTGGAATATGTATGTTCTAGGCAACAAAGAAGAGGTAAGAGTGAAAACTAAATTGAGATCCTGTATACAAAAACAAGACGCATCAGAATGAAATGCATGCAAACAACCTAGCTGAGTGTCCTCAAAATCTGTGCTGGATTTTTGGCATCAGATGTAAAGGGAATTCACTGTAGTATACATCTATTTTAAGATAATGTTGTAAACCAATCTTTGACATTTGTTGTATCTACTTCAATTGATTTTATGTACAAGGCATGTATTTTTTCCCAAATCATTACTATGTTTTAATCAAGCAAGAAATGGAAAAATTTTTCTAAGGAAATTACTTTTAATTTTATAAAGATCATATAAAAGTATTTTTGCATATTTTAGTAGTGTTAATAGCTTATTCCCTTCTAGTTCTAAATACATGCAAAACAGCAATAAAAGGAGAAGGACCACTAGTCTGCTCTACCCAGATTGGTACCAGACACGAAAAGCAAAAGAGAAAACAGATGACAAACCTGTAAGGATTAGAGACCTGACCTTTAATTGAACGTTGTAACTTAGCGGTCAAGATACTCAGGGATCTTACATTCATGAGAAAAACCACAACTTGAAGTAAACTTTCTAAATCTACCTATTCACATCAGATGATGCATTTAAATAGAGATGGAGTTTAAAAGCAGTGTTCTACATTACCCACAATGTAACTGAAAAGCCTATGTTATTTGAAGCAATAATTCAAAAGGACAGTTTCTTTCTAAGGAATGCATGCTTGAGTATTGTTTCAAATAACATAGGCTTTTCCCTACACTGTTGTTGCATAAAGGTCACAACTGTATAAAATACACAGGAGTGGGATCATGAGCCCATGCCAAGTCAGCCAAAATGAATTCCATTCCCAGCTTTGTAAATCACTTACAACATGAGTAACAAAATTTTTTTTTTGTTCATCTGTACAATGATATTTAACCTACATAACCAGGTTGTTGTGGGAACTAATGATGGGTATGTTAATATTTAGAAAGCATTATAAGCTGCATCCATTCCTACAAAAATCTGTCCCACAGTAGCTTGACTAAGTTTTTCAGGACAATGATTATCTTTTTTTTTTGTATTTGTTTGTACAGTTCCCAGAACAATAGGGTCTTAATCCTTGACTTGGACAGCTAGGCACCATTGAAACATAAATAATTAGCAAACAATATGAGTTGAGAGGTTTAGCAAAGTGTTATCCTTCCCAGAGCTCCAAGGCACAGAGCATTTAAATGACCAGAATTTAGCCAATGCAAAGGGAACTGGGGACAAGGAACCATAGCCTTGGTTGCTTGCTAACAACTTTGGTGGCTTGTTCTTGAAAGAACAGGGATACAAAAAAGACAACTGATGGAATGCATATGTGAGAAGAGAACACAGGGACTGCAAATATAGTTGCCTTTTGAGCAAGGCATTTAGGGCAAAACCTTTTTATGTATTTGCCAGCTCTACTGTATCTGCAATCTAAGAGAAAGCACAGTAGGAAAAACAGGGGTTTGTTTTTGAGAAACAACATATAAACATGCAATTTGCCAAAAGAGATACACATCAACAAGAAAGAAAGAATTACATAACCAACAGTAGCTGTTTTCGTTTGAGATGTGTTCAGTGGACATATACACTGCTTTTATCACGAGTATGTCCACTACATTCAAGCTAGAGTCTCACTTAGAAGTATCAGCTGTGTGTTATCATACACACCAAGAACATGCCCCTGCTTCCCATCAGAAGTAAAGAAGTTGGAGCTAGTCCAATCATTTGAGTAGCTCTTCATCTTGGACAGCCTTTCAACTTCAACATGTAAGAATAGCTTCAAGTATCAAGCATAAAGGGTACGACATGGAATTTGTGCCAACATTTCTAAGTGAAACAATTACAGAACAATTAAGCAACTGTTTCTTCTTCATTGCCTGTCCACACATTTGTTCTGTTGTTGGGGACTTCTAAGGTATGTACTCTCTGAAGGTGGCTATCAGTAATTTGGGCTTGTTTACTCTAGAAATGAAAGACTGATGGTATGCATGACTGTCAACATTATTGGAGTAAAAAAATAATTCCTTCCAAGTCACAAATGAAGAAATGCTCTGCTTCCAGTCAGTCTAGAAGATACCTGGAGGACAGGCAATTTCCACAAGGTGATGAATGAAAAGGAAGTAGAATGCTGAGACAAAAGCCTGGAGTGTTTCCAGTAAACTGTGAATGCAGGGTGGGGCAAACAAAAGCAGCCTTCAGGAGGGATAAAGGCAAAAGCGTCCAGGTTTAATACACTACCCACAATTTTTATTTTCTTAAATAAAGGTGATGTTAAAGCAATATATTACAAAAAAAATGGGGAATTAAAACAGTGACTAAGTAAATACTGTTTTCAGCCACTAGTCAAAGTATGTACAATACACACGCAACACAAAACAAATTAAACACTTATTTAACTAGATGTATCAAGTTAATACTATCCCAGTGCTTTAGAACAGCCTCTACCCATTATATTGTTATATAAAGTCATTATTACACTACGCATCCAAAACCTTGATACTGTCAGTCAACAATACATAGTTAATACATACCTAACTTTAAACACGTTAACCCACACATTTAAATAATCTATGTAATGCACAACAAAAATTAAAGCAAATCTGTCTTTCCAATAGTTTAGACTCCTCATTCCCTCTTGTATTTGGCAGTTTGATAATTGAAAAACTTGAATAGATTAAAATGATAAAGTGTTTTCATCAAACAACAACAGAGAAGTAATATGCATACAGTTTTATGGGATCTGAATCTCTATTTTTGGAAGAAGAAAAATAAAGGTTTTTTTTAACTGAAATAAATGCAAAAAAGTCTTAGAAAGTCTCAAAGTCTTACCTGTTGGTATGCTTCATAGATTACATCAAACAAGAAAGCCTGAGGCATTTCACTTGCTCTGTACCTGGCACGTTCCAATGAGTGGTCTAAACAGCCATCTGCAGCAGAGGCAATAACAGTAGAAACTAGAGGACGAATTGCTCCTGCTGCCTGTGGAACAAAACACAAAGAGAGGCCTAAATGTTATTAATATTAATGTATATCAGATAGCTGCAGTCAAAAAACTAAGAGCTTTCAAATATATAAAAGATAAATAAGCAGAAAATGTATCTCCTAATGCAAAGTTATACTACTTAGTCTGTATGAGACTTCTAACATGACTATAGCAACAGAAGACTGTGTAAGTACACACTGAAGGCCAATTTACAAAAAAAATACATCTTAAGTCCTTCATAAATATCTACTGCAAATACATATACAGACCTGAGATGTTTATTTTTCAGACTTTCTTCTACATACATATTAGGTGGTTTCTTGAGGACAGTTCTAGGCCTATTCAGATATCGAAGAGTAGGAGACACACCTGAAAGGTCTTGACAATCCCCAAAACCTTTTGCTTTCACAGATTTCAATTTGGCTAAACTACTCAGAAATAAACAACAAGACAAGTTTCAGAAAACTGAGCTTGTTCCTCCATGTTGAATTCACCCTGTGAAATACTGAGCAGCCACACTTACCATTGAAATCACTAGGAACACAGTATATATACATCACAAAGTATTCACTATACAGCAGCACTGTGCCCCAGAACAGATATTTAAATGCTTATATTTCAGTTTTGGGGTTTTTTTTGCTTAAACTTGAAAACAATAAACATATATCTTTGATCTTCTCATCAATATATAGTATATTCTCTGAAACAGAACACTCTTAGCTGATTTTCATCATTTTGATACCAGAAAGTTAGCCACACTTCATCACTTATCAAATGCTCACATGAATTTTGTATGAAGCTAAAGGCAATTGGGACTAGAGTTGTCCATACAATTATGCAGAAAAGGATGCAACGGCAGAATATTGCTTATCAAGTCACCGGGCAAAAAGCATGCTCCCTAATAATGCTAACCACTGAGAATAGTGTCCTTACACTATACTGTTTATTATCTATTTTAAGAGTGATAAAAAAGAATAATTGTTGCTGTTACAAGACATTTGGAGTTATCAAACATCTTAAATCAGTATACCTAGAAAACCACTCCCACTTTTCACTGCAGCCACAGAAATCATCTACCACCTAGTGAGGTTTGACACAGGAAAAAAAAAAGGTGTCATCATATAAAATAAGAGCGCTGTTATTGTTGATTGCATTTACCTTCTGTTGGCAAATCCTGCCCTCATATGTATGAGTCGTATCCATTCTTACAGGATTTCTGACCTCAGATAAGCATTGGCACAATGAAATGTGAAAAGTGAGTCCAAAGGTTTTTTCCCCTCTCAGAAGAAAAAGAACTAGTTGTCTTCCCTCCCCCTTTCACACTACTGAACAATAAAACAAAGAGGAACGCAGTCAGTGTGTTGAGCACTTTATGAGCTCTAAAATGTAGCTTCTTAGTTCATTCTTTTACAGAATGAGGACAGAGATGTAAACCAATTTCTCATGCCCAAAGAGTTGTGATATGCATGAACTACTGGGGCAGGGAGAGAAAAAATTCAAAAGATTCATGTGACAAGAGAAATATCTGAGGCACTTTCTCAAAATCTGAAAAGCATTTCTTCTTCCTCATATATGGGAAGAGATATCTATATAAAACACTGTCATCCAAAGGCAAAACATGGTACAGAAAGATCAGTGAGAACTATGAAATCACGTAAGAACTGTCTGTAAAGGATCTTGAAAGATCATCTAGTCCATCTTTCTGTCCTAGGCAAGATCAGTTTTATTTCTGTAATAGAAAAGACAAACTGACAAAACTAAACGCCACTGTAATTTTAGTTATCCATCAACGTATTAAATGAGGAGTAAATTTAACAAATGTACTTTGAGGAAAAGCTGTGCATAAGCAGAAGTAGAGACTAAATTATCTGCAACTCGTCCACTCTCTATTTCCTGTGATTCCAGGACATGGATTATTACCTCTGTATCCCAGCTGCTGGGCATTTGGACTATGTTATTTTGCTCTGCCGTCATATTTTAATTGGTCACACACACAAAAAAAAAAATTATAAAATTAGAAGGTCATGGGAAAAGAGACAGAGCAGCATGCTAGCCACAGCTTTTCTGTAGTTAGTTAAGTCTATTTGAAATTCCCCACCCCCACCCTGAAACAGTTACCATTCCAGAAAACCAGTTAGCAAAAGAGGATTTCTTAGGCTGATCCCATATTCTATTACAGTTTTTAACAATCATGTCATGTTACATTTTAAGCATAAAACAGTCCAAGAGAATACAATGTGACTTGCGTAACCAAATCTTACAAGTGAAACACGCACTCTGAGGAACAAAAAAACAAACTGCAATTCTAAACAAAATTGAAATACTCAAAATTATTTTCTTAAAAGAGCTCTGAAACACATTGTTTTCTTGACATCTGGTTTATTGCACAATAAAAATTCATGAATGTCTGTATCTGTATCTTTGTGACAATACTGAACCACATCTCCCACTCTGCTGACGCCTAGCTCTTCCAGAAGATTCAGGAAGATTTAATTTCTAATAAATCCAAACATGTCAGTTTTTAAAAACCTCAATTAACTTCTCAAATAATTGAAAACTTCATGGCATCTTTCAAACAGCTATACTTTTGCTTTACCCCAGAACTGAGTTCAGTGTGGCAGGCTGAGAGTTTCTCACCTGTCTGCCCTCCATTTCAATGGGAAATCACAACTTGGGCGCAGTAAAATGTCTTCTGCAGCAAGTCCACTCAAACTACAGCTGACACTGACTGAAAACATGAAGTTTAATACACAGGATAAGATTTATGTCAGACTTCTGATCATGCAAGGGAGAGAAATTCTAACTATGTATGCACTCATAGGGTAACTAGCAGTCATTTGATTTAAAAAAAAAGCTTTTTTCCAAAAATGGACAATTCAGTCCATTGAATGCAGAATGCAGAGCTCTAGTACTTACTAAAGCCAGGAAGTTTCTACTGCACATAAAACATTCATATGATGAGTAGCTGGGGCCCAAAAGCCATGAATCCATGAGCTAGAGCATACTTGCTCATACGTGTTCACGTGCAGCACTGAGCTGAAACCTTAAAATCCCAAGACAAGATACAGAAACTGGTGGTTTGCTCTACTCAGTACCAGCTCATCCTTCTGCAGGACCTTTCTGTGTCTCAGCCCACACACATGGTCTCCCTCAACCAGATGACATGACCCAACACAGGGCTGAGTTTACCCACTTCAGTGACACGGAGCTAAGGCCACTTTCAAACTGGGTGAAACTGGGATCAAGCAAAGGAAAATACTGGCCTGTGTATGCCCTGCATTGTTTTCATATGGGACAAGAAAGCTGAGTCCCTAACAAAGGGGACCTTCCACCTGCAGTACTTCTAGTGACGTTCTCTAGCTGGCACATGCCAACAGAGCTGCCAAACCCAAGCTGGCTTACACAGCCCTCACTGCACGTGCTTCTGCTTCTGAAATTGGCTCATGGGTATCTTCATTCATGGTGTAAACATAATAATATTTGGCACGTAAAAACAGAAGAATTGAGCTGTAAATTTTGTTCTCCTATACAGGCCGAAGAGGGGCACAGTTTAAGATGTATGCCTCGTTCTGTAGTATTTGCTTCTGATTAGCGCAAGTATCCTCCCTAATCAGCACAAAGCCTTTTCCGAATTCCACTCCTAGCAGTCTTGCAATGAACTGAAGGGGAAAATTAGGTACTTAGGGCTACAACAGTACGTTTTTTAGTTCAGAAACTTAAACATTAAGGCAAATAATATGATAAGTTACTACTGTATCTAAAGGACCCCTGATGACCGTGGGGTGTAAGTGAAGAACAGAATCATCCAGCTAATCTACGTCTATTCAGTTACAACTGAATATTGTAGAATATTTCTATGTTGTTTTGCTGGTTATAAATCAGTAACAAAGAACTATTTCCACATTAGTAAAAAGAGTACATACTGATTCTCAGGTATTTCAATTTTATTTGTTCTAATTTGAGAAGCTTTGACTTGCTATTTATGTCAGGAATGTACAGGTATTTGGCCTGGCTCTCAGGCAAGAGGTTCAGACATGAATTAAAAAAAATGAATAAAACAAAGAAAATCTGTCCTCATTTAAAAATTTTAAGTACTTGTTAATGTCATCATAGTTTTACAGATCTTTTTTACACTTTGAATTAGCCTACCACAAAATACAAATCATGTGAATCTAAAGCAAGTGCCTGGGTCTTATACTAACATTTCCCTACCCTAAGTACTCATCTTCCGAATTCCAATCATTTTGACCCAGATCTCAAGTAGATTTGCTTTCAAAAAAAAAAAACAAGTCACATACAAAATGCATCATACCCCTTTCCTGAATGTGAAGTAGACAGTTAATGGATAGTTAAACTGAATTTCTTTCAATGTCTACTTTACAGCCGTCAAGCACTAGTTTTGGTGAACCTGGCATGTCCAGGAAATGCATACACATCTTTCCCCCATTTCTGCATATTTTGTTAAATAAAGTATCAAAGTATCTGTGGGCAAGCTCTTAAAATATTCTTTCATAGCTTAAAAGACATTGAAACACATACTGCTAACGGGTAAGTTTTCTTTTGCAGACAAAATATTGGAACAAAAACCATCCTTTTAATCTATCAGGTTCTTAAAAAAATCCTACAATGTCCTGAGAATGCAGAATTTCAATCAGTTTCAGTGGAAGTGACAGACTGGTATCTCTCAGAAGCAAGCTCATCCATCCGCAGCCTGTAGATGCTTCTAGAACCAGGTGTCTTATAACCCATTTTAAGCAGAACAAAAAAATGTTTACAAACAGGTTCTCAGTTTTATATTCAGTCTTTTTGCATAACTGCCTAGAGCATAGTATACATTCAAGATTTAAAGATTTAATGATGACTGCAAAAAAGGTAGAGAATGAAGTGTATCATGGAGGTCAGTAGAATACAGTATCATGAGTATTTTCAACAGATTCAAGGCATACTAATCCACCTTTCCACTAAACAGTAACACTGTATCGTTCTCATTTTATCA